AATATATTATAAAATGAACTGAAATAGTGAGAAAATATCTCTGATGAAGATGATAAGAATGGGAAACTGAAGAAGTGAGGAGGAAGGAACATTCAGTGGTGCACATCTCAGTAGCACCTGTCCTCCAGCAGCAACGAGGAAGCTGGGAAACTACAGCCACACACCCTCCAGCAGCAACGGGAAAACTACAGCCACACACCCTCCAGCAGCAACAGGGAAACTTCTAGCCCTCACCCTCCAACAGCAGCGAGGAAACTTACAAGCCACTCAGCCTCCAGCAGCAGACGGAGAAGCTGGAAACCTACAGCCTCACCCCCCTACAGCAGCAACGAGAAAACTACAGCCACACACCCTCCAGCAGAAACGCGGAAACTACAGCCACACACCCTCCAGCAGCAACACGGAAACTACAGCCACACACCCTCCAACAGCAACACGGAAATTACAGCCACACACCCTCCAACAGCAACGGGGAAACTACAGCCACACACCCTCCAGCAGCAACACGGAAACTACAGCCACACACCCTCCAACAGCAACGGGGAAACTACAGCCACACACCCTCCAGCAGCAACACGGAAACTACAGCCACACACCCTCCAGCAGCAACACGGAAACTACAGCCACACACCCTCCAACAGCAATGGGGAAACTACAGCCACACACCCTCCAGCAGCAACGAGGAAGCTGGAAAACTACAGCCACACACCCTCCAAAAGCAACTGGGAAGCTGGGAAACTACAGGAAGATGTTCCACTCATTAATGAAAAAAAATCCACTAATTGCCTTCATTTGAATAATTTATAATTCATCCATTAAAAGGGTAAAAAGTCTAAGAGAAATCATATGTTATTCTAAACAAATCCACTTTGATAAGGTGCATTTTTAAAGAACAGTTTTGTACTATTGCAATGATACATCCAAATAGTTATTTTCAAAATACTATGCCAAAGTTGCCATAGTAACAATGCAAATCCTTTTGGAACATAATTGCCTAATAATCTATCAAATGTAACATATCCCACTACCTCAGAAAATTATTTACATTTCCTTTTATAATATTACTAGAAGCCCGGTGCACAAATCCCCTCAGCCTGGCCTGCACCCTCTTGCAATCCAGGACCTCTTGGGGGATGTCAGACTGCCAGTTTTGGCCTGATCCCTGCCGGCCAGGCCGAGAGACCCCACCAGTGCACAAATCTGTGAACCTGGCCAGTTTCGGCCAAATCCCCACAGGCCAGGCCAAGGGACCCTGGGCCTCTAGTCTATATATATAAAAGCCTAAGCAACTGAACAACTGGTCAACTAGTCGCTCGCTATGATGTGCACTGACCACTAGGGGGCAGACACTCAACGCAGGAGCTGCCCACTCGTGGTCAGCGTGCTCCCATAGCTGAGTGCCGCTCAGCTGACCAACAGGCACCAGACACAGGGCTCACAGCTGGCCACTGCAGCCCGGAAACCACAGCAGAGCAGCAGCGAGCCTACCGAGCAGCAGCGGTGGCAGGAGCAGCCAGGCTGGGATGAGCAGGAATGGTAGGCAGGAGCGGTAGGAGGCGTTGGCTTGCCGGTTTGGGCCCGATCCCCACCGGATATGCCAAGGGACCCCACAGATGCATGAATCCATGCACCAGGCCTCTAGTATGCATATAAGATCTTTGGTTAATCTCTTCCTGCCCTCCCCACTTCTCACTCCCCCCTTCCCTCTGAGATTCATCAGTCTGTTCCATGTTTCCATGCCTGTGCGTTGAGCTCTGCCCCCTGGTGGTCAGTGCATGTCATAGCTACCGGTTGAACAGTCGAATGATCACTTAGGCTTTTATATAGAGAGATATATAGATAGTATTATTATACGCATCTATTCATTGAATGCATTTCTTTATGAAAAACTATTTCACTGAAATTATTGCTATTTTTATATATTAATCTCATTAGAAAGAATTCTAGTTTATACAGGGTTGGTCAAAAGTCTGTTTACAGTTATGAGTATGCAAAACACAGAATTCTTGTATTATTATTTTACTATTGTTTTATTTTCCATATGGACAACTGTAAACCTATTTTTGCCCCACTTTATATTTAAGACAATCTGAAAACACTATGAATTCATCTTAAACCAGGATAGAAAAATGCCTTTTCTTCAATGTATAGGTAATTAGGACTATTCGCATATATCATCTTCTTACCTCTGCTTTTAAATCTATCAAATAAGTATCTTACTTGACTCAAACTTTTGCAATGCAAAATTGTCCACAGTGAAAATGACACAGTAATACAATACAATTGCATGAGAAATAAAACAGGAAAAAAAAACATGAAATTATAACTACAACATAAACATCGCTTACTCTTTGCAGTCCTTCATACCAATCATCTTGCTCAAACCAACTTGAAATGTAAGTCATCCAAGCCATAGGCTGTTTCTACCTTAATCAAGGCAAATGGAGACTCAGCATCGCAAGGCAGCACCTAAAGTAACAACAATGAGTTTCAACCACGCAGCCCACCAACTCTGCCTGGAGAAAGGCTGTTCAGGACAAGAAGTAAGGTGTGCACACACATTTCAGCTGAAGCAGTGTTAATGATGTACAAAGAACAGTATCTGTAGAAATAATGCTAAACCAGAACATGGACGCCTATATTCAACTAAGAAAAAAAATAAAACAATAATGTTATTGCACAGTACCTGAGAAAATGCTGTATCAAAGAGTTTATTTGGTTTACAGTTTCCGTTCTAAAAATCTTAGTTTCAACTTTCGCAAGAAACAGGTGAGTTTCTAGAAGTTACCAAGTTAGCACAAAAACACACAAAATAACAGGAAGCAGAAAATCAGTTTCATTGTCAACCTTAGGAGTTGGACAGACAGCTAGGAGAAAGTTTCTAGGTTAACAACTGTACGAGGACAAGGTCAATCCTATATATCTATTTGCTTCCAGTTCAGCTGATTGCTAACCTTAGCACCTGAAATGATTTATAGACAGCACAGGACTGGATGGAGTGCTAAGCTGTTCAACAGAGAATCAAAATCACATCCATTGGGCTTCATTTTAGTCTTACTCACTTCCAGAAGAAGTTATTTACCAGCCATGCTAAAGAAGAGATTTCTTGGAATCCTGGGAGGATATCTGAACTTGAAAATGGCCTCCCTAAAGCTGAGGCGCATCACCCACTGTGTAACAGGTTTTGCGTGATCCTGTCCTGGCCGAGCTCATCAAACCCTCACACCTCAGGGAAGAAAAAAAGGAAGGGAAGGAGAGAGGAAGGGAGAAGGGAGAGAGGTGGTGGTGGAAAGAAAAAAGAAAACAATTTGAAGAATGTGAGTGTTCCATTTTTCATACCCCAAAAGCAAACTAGCTGTTGTTCTGACATCAAGAGAGAGACTTGTATGGCATGTAAATGTCACTGTAGGTAAGTGAGAACAGCCCATGGCTACAAATTTATCAATGGACCACGACCCTCTTCTGCAGAAGCCTTCTTGTTCTCTAGAAATATTGTCAATACTACCTGCTTGAAGCCTTACAGAGGAAGCTCCAGGATTGGTACAACCTCCCACCTAAGGTTCCCACCTTGGTCCCTGAATGTGGACCGTGTTTTCTGTCCTGCCCTTTGAGTTCCCACGGATCCCTTGTCCCTGCCTCGCTGCTCAGGACTGGAATCTCCTGCATTGTCCCACCCTCTGGGTTTGCTCCCCACACTCCCACTGTTGTCTCTCTTGTCTATTGCTTATCTGATTTTGAGCTACAATTCTATGTCCTGCATTAAGCGTTCTTACCCCGCCTTGAACTTCTATCTAGCAGCTGCCCAACAACTCTAACTACCTTGCTACTATTTCAGTGGTTCAGTCTCTCTTCGAATACACTCCACCAACATCACCCATGCCAAACGCCCAAACTCCATTCCAAACTACCTACCGAACCTAGACCCCTCCGCCTTTTACCTGGTAATCTCCTGTGAACATGTGTAAAACCCAGCTCATCTGTCTTGAGCGAGGTTCCCCTTTCCACCACTCCAACAGCCTTGACTTTCCCCTGCGGTCCCCATTTCAGAGACCATCACTATACTCAGTAACCCAAGACACGGACACCAGGCCACCTTTTGTCCCCTCCCAGGACATTCGATCTCCAAGTCTTTTACCAGGTCTCTTCAAAAGGCCCTTCTCTCCACCCCAATGCCACTGTTTGGGGCAAACCCCCGTGTCTTGCATAAACTAATAAACGAGGTTACTTACCAATCCCTCCTTCCACTGCAGTCCCTCAACACGTCCTATACTGTCGTGACTTTATGCCCAGATGTTTTCAAATGCTTTTGCCTGAACTGTCCTTCCCCTCCCCATTTTCCGGTGAATAACAAGCTCTTTCATATTGAGGGTCTTACAAGACCCACCTTAAATATCCCTCTTCTCTGAAGCCTTCCGCAAATGCACCAAGTCCCTCACCTGTGTGCCTTTAAGTTGGTATCTGCACTGGATAGTGAACGTTTGTGTGGATATAAATTGTGAGCTCTGCAAGGCAGAGGGTCACACCACAACCATATCTGTACAGAGACACAATGTGTCTGTCCAGAGAGCTGACAGAAGAGCCCGGTGACCAGGGGCAGGTCACAGGAACGGAAGGCGCCCAGAGCTGACACTCATGGAGGAGCCAACGACACAGACTCCAAGCGAAGTGGGACCACTCTTCCATGCCTTGTGAGGAAATGACTAACCACTCACTTAAGAAATTGTCTTTAAAAGGTGCAAATGCTCACTTGAACTGGTACCATTATTTTATCCTTATCCCAGACACCAAGTGTGACTTATTACAACACTGCAAATCCAACGCAGTTAACACGAACACCTTGTTGACAGGGCACACATCGTCTCATGATTATTTCCTGATGCTATTCCATGAGCACTAGTTTCCATATTTGCAAGAATTAAGAAAAGCAAAATACTTCATGTCATGTAATCTCAGGCGAAACATTATCTTGCCTAGAAGTACACATTTCTTCACTGAACTCCGGGTATTCTGATGACCTTGAAAGTGAACAGAACCTGGTTCGTTTAGTGTAAGAATGGCAGACAGTTTCCAATTCCCGAACCTCCCTCCCTGTCAGAACCGTCTGGGGTGCAGAGGGAGACCCTAAGCTGCCCTCCGAAGAGACGTGGGAACTGAGACAGGAAGGGTGGGGCGATGGTGGCTTAGCCCACTCCTTCACCCGGTAAGATCAGTGATGGAAGGAAATGACAATAATCAAACCCCAGTGTCATCATGATAAAGACATAAACAAAGGTAATAAAGGAGAATGTTTGCAATGTCAGAAACCTTACTGCAAGTATTACTACCCAAACACGGCCTGGCTGTCGGTCCTGACCTTCGCACACACTCTCCACATCTCTGTTTGCCATGACCTCCTCCGGGGCAGACTGTCCCTGCCTGCTGCCTTTGGACTTGCCACGCAACTTGTTTGGCCTCGTGATGGGTGGGCAGACATCAGTGTCCCAGGTCCATTCCCACCCCCGTGCCCCTGCCGTCAACCTGAGAAGGACAGTCCATGGCTATCTCGCTGGGCCAAGGAGGACAGAACTACCCAGACCAATCCCAGGCCTCCAGGAAGGCGCAGGGCCACCCAGCTTAGCTAAACCTGTTAGGAAAACCCTGAGATTCCACCTGTGAGCATATTAATGCTCACTGTTCTACTGTGCTGAGTGTGGGAGGGGTCTGTAACAGCACTTTTGTGGCAATAGCTCCCTGATGCATACAACGGCCCCCAGGGATATCAGACCCAGCACTGCCGAGCCACGAAGACACCACACTCCACGGAGCTCGGCTCGCCCAGACAGCAGGCTCACTTCACCTGCATGGGGAAAGCAGGGCTGATGACTGTAGGAAGGAAGCGGGGTTTACAAGGTTTAGGGTGTCCTGACAATCTATGTGCGGGAGGAGAGTTACAGAGGACAGGACGTTCTTTAAACAGCTAAATAGGGCAAGAGATAGTTATGTAGATAAAGACTCTGAGTTATCTCATGTTGTTGTTTTTTTCAGTCTCTGACGGTCAGTCATTTCACAGGAGGCAAATGCAGTGGCACATCTCACGAGGCCCAGTCAGACGGGGGCGGGGTTTCCACCTGAGAAACACCCTTTTCAGAAGCGCTTTCTAATTCCGTGTCAGGACGAGTAGGACAAAGCACAAGACGAAGGCCCTGCTCTCATTCTGAGAAGCTGGCGTAGCGTCCAGTCCTCACCTCGGGCCATAATTACAAGGACTGAAATCAAAACCCTGGCGGGCAGTCCCTGGCCGAGAGCTGAACGTACTAAAAGTTCTCTGGGTGTAAATGTACGGGGACCTATTTGTGCCAGAGCCCGAAGCGTCCGTTGCTGCGCTCTTCTGCCTGAACCTGGGGCTGTTTCTATCGCTCACGCCTGTTTAACATCCCCGATACAGTGAAATGACACGGCGGCCTGTGCTCTCAGTCTTGGTCTCCGTTGTCTCTGCTTTGATTCCACAGCTATGTCTTTCCACCCAGTGTCACCTGCTGTCTCAGACCAGGGCATCCATCGGCTTAACCCTCTGAAATGTCGGCATCTGCAGCCTGTCCTTTCCTATCTTAGTCTGTCCCCACCAGGGACGTCTTCTAACCTATGGCACCAGCTGCAGTCATGCTCTCAGCCGGCCCTGTCTCTGTTATCATGTGACACAGCAATGGTACTTACAGGAACTTCCCAAGGAACTGGAATTAACGTGCAAGGTGAGCACAGGCCACCACTTGTTCAATCAAACAGGGGAGCACGAAGTGTAACATAATGCATTGCTCAAATCACCCCCTTCCCCATCCCCGCATCTGACCTGCCTAGAGCCCTTCTGGGATGGTCAGAGGGGTCAGAGGAGAGGACAGGGCTGGGAGAGGGACTCGGGAAGCGTACACGTGCCTCCTGCAGGCGGTGCACAAGGTGCTGCAGACCTGGGATCACCTGCCTGCCTACTCACCAGGAATAAGCTCTCCTTGAAGGCACCGAAATGAGTGGAAGGCAGCTGTCAGAAGCACCATGTCACTGCAATTAGGGCGATCCCTCTACCCCACCTACATCAAAGCCCTGCATTAAAACGTCAGGAGGAAGAGCTAGAAGCAGGTACACAGTTTAAAAAGTGTGCTTGGAATGGTCAGAATGATTCCTCACTTTTGAAAGATTGTTCTTTAGTTTGTCAGTTTATTTTGTTCATTAGATTCCACATATAAGTGAGATCGTGTGAACAACACAGATGCAGAGACATGGAGGCATGCAACAGAACGAGGATTCTCAGAGAGAAGGTGGGGGTGGGGAGGGAAGAGACCTTATATGCACATTTGCATAAACCATGGACAGACAACAGTGGGGCGAAGGCCTGGGAAGGGGATGGGAGAGGGCAGAGGGAAGTCAATGGGGGAAAAAGTGGACATCTGTAATATTTTCAACAATAAAGACAAATTAAAATATATATATATTGTTATTT